CCTGGCATGAGGAATCATCCTATCAATCCATTCCCATGAACCATAGATATACTCCATATAACCGAACCGAAAGGATCATCATAGACCTCATGGCGATCAAAATAATTACGACCAATCTGGGCCGATGTACGACTACTAGCCTCATCTGCATGCTGAGAACTCCAACGAACTGAGTATATTATGCACAATGTGAATCAAGAGTTGATTGGTGAGAATTCAAATATTGATCTCCCTAATCACATCGATCAAACTCTATCATCTAAATCACAAATTGAAATGAATGATTATGTGTTTTGGACAAGATTGCATATGCTCAGATCAATCCGAAAAGAAAGATTGGAGCAAAAGCTTCGAGAGGCTGAGAATAGGCATGAAGAGCTTGATGGGGAATTGATGGACGAGGACCCCTCATATCACCCCCCCCCCCCCTCCTCTCTCCAATTATGATGACCACACCCTTGTTCAAAAGCTTGAATGGAAGAAGAGGGCCATCAATTGGAGATTCAACTAAATTGCCTAACTCCAAGAACAAAGAGCATAACACCAAAAGGAAGTGGGGGAACTATATGAAAAAAATGAGGTAAGGGAACTCGATCGGTTATAAAGCAATACAAAATGTATTTGTCGAGTCCCCTGCGTATGATTGGTATGACAACTTCTCTCCTGATTCTTGGAGAAGACACGTGGATCTTCATATCCTTCTCCGATCAAACAAGATCAACTTCTTAGAAGCGAAGCATAAATTTAACCTTCAATCCCAAGAAAAGTTGGAGCAATTGAGAATGTTGAATCCACATCAAGTAGTTCAAGAAGTTAAGAGAGATTCTGAACCTATTCTCAAAGATTCATCAAGTCCAACACAATCTCAGAAACCCGAGTGCAATACTACTCTTCAAATGCTCGCTAAGGCTACTGTGGTGATGTTACTTGAATGCCCTCCAAGCAGTGAAGTCGTACAGGAGGTGGACCCAACTAAGGGACCTGACTGAGAACCACCAACTCCATCTCAAGAAGAAAACGATGAGGGAGTTTTACTCGTGGCAAGAAACTTCCCTCTCCTTAACTATGTTGAAAACAAACCTCTTGAGGAGCCTATTTGGGAGAAAATAGAGCACACCACCTACCCCCAAGCTTCTAACATAGAAGAGTCTGAAGAGGAATCTATAGACAAAGAGATACACTACACAGAAAAGCCAACTTCTTCTATAAAAACTTCTAAAAATAATGCTTCACCCAAAGATTTAGACCATACTTTCTTTGACTCCCTACTTGATGGGTGTGACTATGTCTGCCCGGAGGATAGTTATAGCCAAACAAGTTGGGACAAACTTTTGATAAGTGATACTAACGACTCTTTCATAAGGGTAAGTAATGTCGTAATCATTGAGCCGCAAAAGGAATGTCAGCCCATTGAAGATGATGAAAGAATCAACCCGCTATGTAAGCCTAATGGTGTGGATCTGCCGGGGAGACTTCCACCACCACCCATCTATCCAAAGTCTCTTCCTTATATCCTGTTGCCACCAAGCCACAGAGATGAGTCAAGGATCCTAGACCTTGATCGAGCAAAAATTCACACAATGTGGCATCAAAAGAGAGTCAGAAGGGCTAGACTTTATGAGTCTTGGATCGGAAAGTTACAAAATATGTCTTAACATCAAACTACTGACGTAAAAGAAGCACTTAATAGGAGGCAATACGTAATTCAGAAGAAAAAAGTATTCAAATAAGTTTTTGAGGTTATGTTTGCCGCAATAATTTTGGGGGCAAGAGTTATTTTGTTTTTTTTTGCAGATGGGAGGACTGCAAGGCATACCTTGCAGGGCATCAAGGTTTCTTTCTAGAGAGAGGAAACAAAGATGAAGTTCTGCACCTGGGAAACACAAAGTTTCAATCTTCATAGTTGAATAATTTAAGTGTGAGGACAACCTAGTAATTTCATGTGGACATTTCAACCATTAACTCTAATTCCAACTCACTCTTTAACCGCGAGGGCACGCTTTCATTTAAGTGTGAGGAGGTAAGAGCTTCTGGTTGAAATGATCTTTTTAGAAATTATTTTATCCATATATTTGTAGGAAATTATTATTTTTTGTTGAACTTCTTTTTTTCTCTGTTTGAGAATATGGTTTGAATTCGTCGATTTGGGATAAATTCATAATTTATTAACATTTTTTAGATCAATCAATTTTAAATTACTTTTTTAAAAATATTTTTGTAAAAGAGTTATTTTCAAAGTATAAGGGATGCCATTTTAAAGCATGCTTTGGTGGGACAAAGATTTTTGTTTTGGCCAAAAAGCAGTTGGTTCTATGTCAATTGATGAGGCTAGGGGAATAAGACAAAAAAACACGGTTCTATATCACGTGATGAGGCCTTTTGATTGTTTAAGTAAAAAAAACATGCAGTTCAATGCCACGTGATGAGACTTTACAGAGTGCCTATCCAAAAAACTCTAGTGGATGACAAAGTATATGCATTCAAAAATAAGTTTCTATACTCTTAAAAGTATTAAAGGTTGAATAGAAATTGATAGGGCAGAGATAGAATGAATATAGATAAAATGGAGTGGTTGGATGGTTCTTGAAATGAAGGTGAATGAGGGTTTATATAGGAGAAAAAAGAATATGCCCGTTATGCCTTATAATAGTATACTTTAGGGTTGAGAAATAGACCAAAAAATTGATTTCAAAAAACGAAAATATAAAAATAATATTTATATTTTTTAAGGATTAAATAATAATTACTATAATTTGATTAAATCACATTACTTTATTTAAAGCTACACACACCTAAATCTTAATTAATATTATAATTTTAAATAATAATAATAATAATAATAATAATATTATTATTATATTTCAACTACAAACTATTGTTTTTAATAATTGCTTAGCTTGTAGGAATGATGCATGGAAGTAATGTTAAAACTTAAAAAATAATATTTTTCATACTTTAAAAAGAGTTGTTTTAAAATACTTGTTTATTAAATAATTATACAAAACTTAGTTTTCAAAATCATAAATATTTTATACTTAAAAAGACTTACTTCTAAACTTTAAGAAGATATAATATATACAAGGGTGAGTTTATGAAAAAAATTATAGAGGTGAAAGGAATATTAGTGTTTAAGATTTTAGAATGTAATATGCATATAGAATGTGGTTATTTTGTAGAATAGCATCCATATTTTCTAATATTTGGTTATTTTAATGCTGATTATTTAGTTTTCAAAAATATTAAAAAAGTAGTGATATTGAAAAGATGTTTAATATTTTAAAAAAAGTTTAAATACATCAATGATTAGCTGATTTTCTTATTTTACTTTTTTTATGTATGTATGAATCGTAATACTTAAAACTATTAAATTTTATAATAATTTAAATTAATTTACATCAGATCTAATTTGATAAAATAAGATCCTATCAGATCATATTTAATCAGATTAGATAAGACCAGATCAAATGAGAAAATTTAAAAGTTCAGATTCAATCATCTACCTTCTCACATACTCTCTCCCTCTCCGAGTGTTTGTCTACTTTTGAATTTTTTCAGTCAAAATTGGTAAACTTTAACTTCAAATTAAATAAAAATGATATTAGATATTGATATAAAAACAGTATTATTAAATTTATTATATCAAATATTTTTAAAAATATTATTTCATTTAATTAAAATACAATATATTTTATCTAGGTCAAAAATAGGACCGGAAGGAAGTAGTATTTCCCCATCAAAACCCTACTCCCCTTCAGCCAAGCGTAGATGCTTCAATAGGGTGCCGACCCTAAATGGACGTGCCGACTTCCACTGAGACGATTGTGCAGAATCTGTGTATCCCAGAAAGTCTACATCAGCCGAAGGCTGACATCGGCGGCGATGTGGAAACACATACATCTCATAAGACCGCCGAAGAGCTAGTGGCCAAAGCCATTGCTCCGGTTAAGAGGGAATATCTTCGTCCTCCCCCGCAAAGAAAATGTGGCGATAGTAGCACCCACACCTCCTATGTAGAAAACGACGACGCTGTGGAGGCCAAGTCCAAAAGTCTACTCAGTGTGAAGAAATCCAAGCGCCAACTCAAACGTGAACGCCTTCAGGTAATCTTCTCAAGAGTTATACTCTGTATTCAAAATGCTATTAATTCTGGGAATGTATTACTATCTCTGTACTTTAATCTTTCCAAAATGATAGCCTATTCCGATCAATATAAGTTTCATATATTTTTATATTTGAGTTTCATATAAGCTTCATATTATTTCTCTCTTTTACATAAATTTCACCCACACAATTATAATTTTCTTAAACGTTTTGCTTAGTTAAATTAGACACTATACATGGGCGGAAATTAAAAATAATATGGAGTATTAATAATATAAAGTAGTAATCATAATAATACTATTATTGCTAGGACTATTACTCCGTATTATTATTATTATTATTATTACTATGTGTGGATTCTTGTTCGCTGTCAGGAGTAATATTAAATTGTTATTAATTGATCACTTAAGAAGATTCAGTTTAGTCAATTTGAAGCATTTGTAACAATTCTAATTATTCAATTTCTAGCTTATTGATATACAATGTATTTGTGAACTAATCAACACATTACCAAGTATGTCAAGATAAAGAGCATTAGGACATTAGACACTAGCAAATCATACATGTTATTCAATTAAAAAATTTGTGAAAGATGGATTACTTGAATGAAAGGCCTTGCAAATAGTTCTGGGAGAAAACTAAGAACATTTGATATTTAAAAATGAAAGTAAATAAAACTACAGAAGACTCCATACAATAAAATGGGTCTCATGGGGTATTTTTTTAATATTTAATATTTTTATAATATTTGACTTGTTACCTAACTATAAATGTGGCATAGCCAGTCGGGACTTCAATCAACAACCATTGGGTCATTTTCTAATTGTTAATACCCTAATCAAGTGCCAAGAGAATTCCTCTAATTCTTATGCAACTAACACATGCAATTATGCATGTATCTATGTGTGTGTGTTATATGTATATGTTGATGTATGTATATATGTGTGTGTGAGTTCTCATTAGAACCTGATCACCTAGACAAAATTTTACTAGAATCTTATTTTAATAATTTGTTCCTCAAATGCTCTAGGACTGAATAACCATAGTGTACCTTTAGCACTAAACAAAAATGAGGAGCAGTTGGAAGTTAATATAGGAGAGCAAAATGCACCACCAAGAATATTTTCAATAATTTGTGATCAATCATCTAAAAAGCGAGAGAAATGCCAAGGGCAACATTGTACACCATATAAAGGTTGGCTGACTAAAGTGGAGGTTGTCGTAGGATGCCTTTCGATATGAAATTCATATTGAATCCGTTCAACCCACTAGGGGTGAGCATTTAAACCGAACTGATTGTGCAATTGATGACCGCAAACCAAACTAGCTGAAATCTTGGTTTCGGTTAGTCATCCGGAAAAATTTGGTAAATTCGGTTTTTACGGTCAGTTTTCAGTTTTGATATAAAATGGGCCAAACCGACCAAATAACCAACCGTAGCCCATTAGCAATACACTTAATAGCTCCTGTCCAATTAAAATGGCCCAAATACTAAATCCCCACATATGACCAATCTTATCTGTCCATTCATCCTCATCCTTAAACCTCGTTACCTAAATCTAGACACAAGTCATTGACTACACTACAGTCACTGCCTCGTTCTTCAGCCTTCTTCTTCGTATTTACTCAGTTTCTCCACCTTATCGCACACTGTACCACCAAGTTCTCAGCTTCTCTATCTTCCACAATTCAGACGTAAATATTCATTTACAAGTTGGAGTAAACCGTAAATAGCAATTACTTTGCATAATTGCAGTAAGAATTTCAAATGTTTTGTTTTCACAGAGTGTTTTGTGAATTTGAAATGGTGTATCTTTGTCATTCGGTAAAAAACTGCTCGAAATCGATCAATTTAAATCGGTTTGGTTAGTACAGTTTTGGATATGTGGCGGTTCGGTTTGGGCGGTTTTTGCATTTCAAAATATTTTTTCGGTTATTTTGATTTTGGACAAAAATTGACCAAGCCGACCCGATGCTCAGCCCTATAACCCGCTATGATGTGCGGAAGTTGTATCTTGCATGGTTGAGGATGTTGCAATGAACTTGTGGTTGCTCAGTGTTGGACAAGAAACTAAATGTGATCTTTCTCTCAGTACTTGGTGTTGCGCCTATTGCTCCTAAAGTAAGGGCAGATCAATTTTGGTGATTTGGCCTTGTTTGCCACTAGATTCAATGACAAAGAGTGGTATTTGTCAGGGTTCTCTATTAACCAATCTCTCTACTTATAAAGTAAGGTGTGTGTATTGTGTTTTATGTTTTGTTTTGTTTATATTTGTTTTGAATCCTATAATGTAAAAAAGTTAAGGTAGCTTTTAGTTTTTTTTGGTTTCTCAAAATATCCCACTTATTTGTGGTAATTATTCATCCATTGATGTTGTTGGATATATTCATGACATTTGTTAGTATTCCTTAGGAATTAGGATTTGTTCTTAACATAGTTATTAAAGGAACTCGCCCTCTCGCCAATAGCGCCTCAGGCGACCAGCCAGCACCCATGAAAGCCAGGCGAGCTAAGCGGATGCCTTTCTCACTTTTCTCGCCTCAATCACTGTCTCACGTGTTCGCCTAGCTCGCCTTTCAGTTAGCATATTTTGTTTTCCTGTGACGACTGACAATTATGTAGTGTTTAAGGCTTTAGGATATACAATGCATAATATTTATTGCTATATATTACTCCATTATATATATATATATATATATATATATATATATATATTTGCTTGTATATGCATGTGTTTGCCATTTGATCGCCAGCCTCTTGCCATGAAAAGGTCCTCCTGTTCGCCCCTCGCCACTCCCCATTATTAACTATGGTTCTTAACATATTCATACCGAGTTTCCTAATTGGCTGTTTAGTAGGTTTGAATATACTCCCTCCACACATTTACTCATGCATGGGTTTGATTCGGCAGTGTCTTGGTGTCTTAGATGAAACATGAAACATAAGTTTTGTGGTGTTACATTTTTGACCTTTGATAAGTGGTTTGAGTTAGTGGTGTCACATACTCACATGAACCCTTTAAGATGAAGGGTGACTATGTAAAGTAATTTTATATTTTTAGAAAGTCCTAAAAATTAATGAATGTCCCCTCTAGAAAAGGAAATATGAACAAAAGTATTTGATAAAGGGAGTGTGTGCGTGCGTTACACACAGATACACATGATGTTGTTCAAGTTACTCTAAGGCTTGGACCATAGTTGTGAATGGCGAGTGGCGAGCGAGAGGTCCCTTTTTATGGCAAGAGGCGTGGCGAGTGGCGGGCGGTCTAAATTTTTAGTCTTAACTCTTAAACAAACTTAATTATCAAAGTAAAACATGAGTTGGTAAAACAAAACACAAACCAATATTCCAAGCTATTAGTCATTAAGCATTGCAAAATATAGTACTCCCTCTGTCCACCATAGATCTTCCCAATAGCCCTTTTTCTTTGTCCACAATAGATCTTCTCATTTCATTTTTTAACAAGTAAAATACCACAACTACCCCCACTTACTTTATTTATTACACCTCACCCACCTCATTTAATACACTCCACCCATTTTTCATTAAGGGTATTATGGTAAACTTTCACCTTTTTTCAACTCTCCTTAAAAACCACCAAAAGTCAAAATGAGAACATCTTAGGCGGACGGAGGGAGTACTTAAAAAGAATAAGACTAAAAANGTCATTAAGCATTGCAAAATATAGTACTCCCTCTGTCCACCATAGATCTTCCCAATAGCCCTTTTTCTTTGTCCACAATAGATCTTCTCATTTCATTTTTTAACAAGTAAAATACCACAACTACCCCCACTTACTTTATTTATTACACCTCACCCACCTCATTTAATACACTCCACCCATTTTTCATTAAGGGTATTATGGTAAACTTTCACCTTTTTTCAACTCTCCTTAAAAACCACCAAAAGTCAAAATGAGAACATCTTAGGCGGACGGAGGGAGTACTTAAAAAGAATAAGACTAAAAAACAAAAATAATTAGTGACATAGATACATAATCTTTGAACTGCAATTGTGTCAATCAAGCAATCAAGACATTAAATAAAATCTGAAAATCATAATAATTATAACAATCATTATCATTGTGCGTGATTTGGGTTAAAAAATATAAAAAATCAATTAAAAAAAATAAGAATTGCGATGAGGGTGTGACCTGGTTTGAATACGTACATCACTCTGGGCTGAGGATAAGTAATTCGACTAGTGCCGAGCTAAGTATGGAGTTGGGCCTGAAGCAAAAGAGAGAGGAGGGTGTGACCTGGTTTGACTTCGACTCGCACTGGGCTGAGGAGTCTCTCGACCCTGCAAATTGCGATGGAGTGAAGCCGTGAAGATCAATCCAGAAGAATCAAAGACTCTGCGATGCCGCAATGACTTTGGAGCAGTTGCGATCTTGGGGAGCCGCACCATTTAGATCGGATGTATCGAACAAAAATTAGGTCAAGGTCTGTTTTTTTATTTATTTCACATGTCGCAAGGCGTGGATAGCGCTCGCCACTTGCCACAAACCATGGCGTGTATGGCGACCGCCTATAGCGCGCCTCCCGTAAAACGCCACGCCAGAGCCCAGACAGACTTTGGTCGCCTCAGCGCTTATAGCCCGCCATTCACAACTATGGCTTGGACTATGATATCTCCCAATATTAGAACTCTTTTGTGGGTGTTAAGTCTAAACATGATTTGAATTTGATATCTCCTGATATCATAACTCTCCCAAATAGGGTGGTTTGATATCTATTGATTTTGGAAGATATCAATTCAAAGGTTTTGATATTTCCCCAAGTGTTGACCATTACTGATATAACACAAGGGAGAGCCACACCCTAAAAGCTAGCTCTTAAGGTGGGAGAACCCTTGACTATATAAACCCATCACCAAGTTCCCCATTTAACCGGTGTGGGACAATGAAATCAGTCCTGTATCATTCGACCCCCCATAAGGCCCAACGTCCTCGTTGGTCACGGCTACGTTGGTCACGGCCACGTTGGTCACGGCTGGTTTCACTGGGCCACCACTCCGTGGGCCACCACTCCGAGTTGGTTCTGATACCATTGATACAACACAAGGGAGAGCCACACCCTAAAAGCTAGCTGTTAAGGTGGGAGAACCCTTGATTATATAAACCCATCACCAAGTTCCCCATTTAACCGGTGTGGGACAATGAAATCAGTCCGTATCAATTACCTCCGGCAAACACCCTTGTTGGTGGTTCACCATCGTCGCCCACAATTGCCGGCCACCTCCTTCGTTGATGGCCACCCGTCACAACCAACCACCCTCTGCTTGTCACTAGTTCAACAACGATATCAGATTTCTGATCTCTCCAAGCACTTTAATTTTAGATTTCAATATTCATATCTTTTTTCCATATTTCAGACATCATATCAATCCTGCTTCGCTCATCAAATAGCTTCTAAGAGTAACTTTTGCTAAAGTTAATTGTCCAATAACTCTTCATATTTGAATTTCTATGATCAACCATTTTGTTAAGCGTTTTTAGTGACTAATTTAGTCTACAAGTTTTTATGATGTTTGATTTTTTTTTTTGTTTTTTGTTGAATTGTTAAAGGCTATTGAATGAATTAAGTAAGTGTATAGTATCTTAGTATTCATTTTGAATTATAACAAAATGCTGATTACTTCGTCCGTCCCACTACTTTTGGGACATGAGGGAGTGCCACCAAGATTAAGAATAAGATTTTGTGGTTGATATTAATGTTAAAATGTAAGAATGAATGTGAATTACTCAAATATGACCAAATATGGTATGAGCAAAAAATAATGGGACAAAAAAGGTAAAAATGGACAAAAAGTGGGATGGATAGAGTATAATGTTAACCATTTACAAATGTTTGATTTATCTAAATTTATGCATGAAAGATCAGTGAGATAATATCTAAATTTTTAAAAATGGGATTGTTGAAGATTCAATGTATAACAAGTTATCGATTGGAGTAACTTTAGCAGCATTACTGTTGCGCGCACACACACACACACACACATGTATGTATGTATATATATATGTATGTATCTATATATATATGTATATGTATATGTATATGTATATATATATGTATATATATAATATGTGTGTGTAAATATTCTGATTGCAATTTGCAAGCTTTGTAGATCAAATTTGCTATCTTTTTACTTCTTACTGTTCTTAGCGTGTTGTAAACTAACTTACAATAAACATCCAATGCATTTTTATTATTTCCTTAATCAAAAGTTCTCTAGAATTAAAATTTTCTGATGTAATTCAATAATTTTATGAATTGCAGGAACGCAAATCTCCTCTAAGCTTGTGTCCCGTGGTGGCAAAAGCTGGAAATGTTAGTGCATGTGCTTACAATGACCAGTGCCGCTTTAGCCATGACTTGGAAGCTTTCATTGCTCAGGTAAATCCGAATCAAAATCTTTTTGTTGTTTCTCATTTGAAGTTGTACCGATATTGGTTGTCTATGATGTAGAAACCAGCTGATATAGAGGGCTTCTGCCCTTTCCTAGATACTGAAGGGCCATGCCCGTACGGGGTGGCATGCAGATTTATGGGTACACACAAAGATGATCTGAAAGAGGAGACTTCAAAACCTCACATGAAGAATTCCGAGTCAAATATATTGAGCAAGGAAACTCAAAAGCTGTTGTGGAAAAATAAAGTGAAGTTTACCAATGCCGAGGCTGCTCTCAAACATCTTGGACTTTCGGTCAGTATACCTACCAGTTCACTGCACCCACTTGGCTGTTTTCCCCAGCAACACACAACTAGTGGGCCATTTGGAGCTCGGAAATTGCTAATGAAAGAGAAAGTAATGAAAATATGGAGTATATGAGAAGTTAATGGTGTATTTGGTTGGGGGGGGGGGAAATAATTTCCAAATAAAATTATTCTCTCTCCACATTTTCCGTTGTTTTGGAAAAGTAAATTTTCTCCCAAGAAAATATTTTCCTTATTTCTTAGGAAGGAAAATAAACATCAAAGATTAATTTTTGATCTTTGAAGAATGGAT